GCTGCTTCAGCTTTGAGCCTTGTCTTTTCAGCTCCTGCTTACAGCCCATGATGGACCACTGACAACGAGGAGGAAACCGTTCAACACCGCCGGGTAGAAAGATAAGGATGGGACAGCAGTCATAGCTACAAAGGGCCTGTCTTTGTTCCAGGCCACATCATCGACCCCACCCCAAGGCGGCAGCAGATTTCTCCCTACCAGTCTAAAGAGCCTCGCCTGGGGCGACAGAAGAAGATAGTAGCTGGATTCCGGCGGGACTTGACAGTGTCTCTGACAGAGCCCCAAGTGTACCTTTTCCCCTTCCCCTTTATCTTCTCCCTCCCTTCCCCCACCTGCCTAGGTCTTCTTTCTCCCTCTCCCGCTACCAGGCAGAGATGATATAAAACAGAGGCTCATTGGCTATTTGGATTTTGCTTCTGCTTCTTTTAGGTTCATTATCAAGCTCCTATTTTATATAACCCTAGAAACAAACATCACCACCACCAAAGTTTATAATCCCTTTAAAAAGGGTATTAAGGGCAAAGGGAGAGAGGGCAGGCATAACATGTTAACCGGCGATTGGAGAAAGCCTAGTGTGTTGACCACATGAACCAAGGTAAAGCACCATTTTAGAATTACTGATTTTTAATATTGATAAAGTAATTCTATTTTTGTTTTATTTTTTCCACTTAACTAATTTCCCTCTAATCATTATTCATTTGCAAATGAAACTGAAATGTGACCAACTTTTTATTTAATTGCTAGGCATTTAAAATTTTTCGTTTTAGAAATGTGCATTACCTTGGTCTATTTTGATTTTAGGTTTTGTTAAGACAGAGTGTAGTCATGGTCATACACCTCAATGGTAGCTTATGAGCTGGGTTGGGGTCAGGAGGTGATGTGGAAGGGGTTCATAACTGCACAAATGTCTCCTCATCAGGCCATGACAGATGACTGAGGGAGTTAGTCACCATTCTTGAATTGCACATTCATTTATCCCCTACACTAAATTGTTTACATAAACAGTCCTTTAGAACAGTGCAATACACTCACTGAGTGGACCTAATACGTTTCGCATACTAACTCTCTGCTTTCTTGCTTCCTCGCTTTCCCCTGCTTCTTTGTCAGCGCTTTCCTGAACGAGGCCCTAAACTTCAGTGTGCTTGGTGTTTTAAGCTCAAGCCACTTTGGGGGTTTCTGTATCCTCTGTGACTTCCAGCAACAAGTCACCCTCCCTAGCTCTGCCATATTGTAGGGGGAGCTTGGCGATGTTTCCTGACCGTGGTGATGGTCAGTGGGCCATCAAGCCAAATGTAGGACGTTCCAAATTGCAGGGCTATGAAATGAGGTGTGACAGGCCAGAGTTGGAAACTCAAAAAATGAAAATCACCTACAACAAAGACAAAGAAAAGAGACTTGATTAACTGTGAGCAGCTTTCAAAAATTCTTTTTAATGAATGAAAACAAAGGGTTTGGTGCATTTTTTTTTTGCCTCTGTTAAAAAAAAAATCACTTAAAGTGACAAGATCTATTTGTTATAGTGAAGGGAGCAGGCATGTGTTCCAGAGGTTACTGGTGCCCAGGATACTAGCTTGAGGGACATCTATTGTGATTCTTTCCATTCCACCATGAATTAGGTTGGGGGACAAAATAGAGTTCTGTCATTCCCTTAGATATGAAGGTTTGGGAATAAAGGGGTTATCTGGAATCTACTATAATGGTATTTGTGAATGGAGATCCAAGGCCCACGACAAAGGGTTGCAGATTAATGGGACTGTTCAGAACTTCTTAAGAAAATAATCAAGTCCAAGTGGCATATTTAGTGTTCTTCCTGACTTTGCAGGTGCTGATATGAGCCTTCACATCTCACCCTTTCACTTATCCAAGTCCTTTCAAGTAGTTTTGTTGGTACCGGGCAGCTCATAATAAGAAGCTAAATAGTCCATGCAGTCCTTCCCCTGCCCATTCCCATGGCTGTGGTAATGTGTCTGGTGCTCTTCTTTACGCCCTAACCCCCATAAATAACATGTATGTATGAAAATGGAGGGTTAGTTATTCACGTTTTTATAGTCCCTGTAAATGGTGTTATGTAGTTGTGATCCTGGCAACCAGACCCCTGCTCGTATTTGCATGTGGTGATTAAGGCAAGAGAAGACTTCTTCCATTAAAAAGATCTTTGGAATCACACTGTCATCTGTTTTCTTTGGGATATCACAAGAATTACAACTAGCTACATTTCATATGAAGTCTCTCCTATGCCTACAGGAGGCGACCCACAGACAGCTATTTCAGTATTCCTGTGAGGCAGGGCTGGCTGGATTAAATAAAGGGAAGGCTTCCTAGGGGAGGGGGCATTTGGAGGGTGGGAGGGAGTGAGGAGGGACAAGTGAATGGCAAGAAGACCCTCACTTTTTCTTACCTCTTACTGATCTCTGACTGTAGCCTCAAGACCAACCAAAATGAGAGGTAGTGAGTAGATTCCCAAACTGGTTATCTGGGAGAACAATTTTCAGTTCTCAGGTCCATAGAGCTAGTTTGGCCTCATCTTGGACAAGCTACCACCCTGTCACCTCTGCATCTCCTTCGTAAAAGGAGATAAATGACCACCTGTTGTTAGGACGGCAGGCTGAGATGTTGGGAATTTAAGGTACTGAATGAAATGGAGTCGCCTGATATTCCTCGGTGTGGCATCAAGTTGAAGAAACCTTGTGCAGTCTGGCCATGGCCAAAGCAGAAATAGGAGGATAGCAACTAAAGATTTCCATGGCAGCTCAGCATACAAGAACCCCCCAGAAGGGGTTATCAAAAACCAAAAAATAATAATAATAATAATAATAATAAAACCCAAAACAAAACAAAAAAACAAATAAAAAAAATAAACAAACATCCAAACCCTAAACTCTTTATGTCTTCTATTAAAAGAGAATTTATAAATGTTAGCATTTGATGTTTATGTTTTTGCTTTACCACTGGGTAAGGTGATCTCAGTGCTGCAAGGAACATCACTTCCAGGATGAGACAAAGGCTCCCTCACTTCTGCTTTGATGACAACCTGGTAGGCGTTTGAGAGTCAGTGCCAAAATAGAATTCTAGGCTTCTCTGGAGTCTAGAGGCCTTCATCTTAGAGATTTAAAGCAATGAGCATTCCTTTGTCTCTAGTTCTAGAAACACTGTCAATAGGCACCTTTTTTTTTTTTTAAGGTATTCCTGGTTAGTCATTTCCAGTCTGGACTCAGGATACCACAATAACTGCATTCTTAGACCATCTGTCGTAGACATTTGAATTGATCTTCTGGTGACTTTGCGGAAATGTTGGAATAGTGATTGAATACATTGAAGCATATCCTTATATGCAAGTGTTCATATATAGGTGAATATGTTTGTATCTATCTTTCCCTATTAGGGGATAGATTTCTGACCAACTGACATTCTCTGTATCTGAGAGAATTCCTCATTAGTAGTAAGAGTGTATATACTTTGGAGCACCATCATGGGAGCAGGCATTACAATACAGAATGCCTATTTCAGAGGCGGTATGACCCCAGTGCATTCATGCTAAAGCAATGTTATTAGAGTTTTAAGATCCTCTGTTCCAGGTTCCAGTTTACTTTGAGTGGTAGAGGTGGGAATAGGGATAAGAGGGTCTCTATTACATAAAGATTATACCTAGGAACAAAGTATTTAATGTTCCATGAGCTGGTTCCTAGAAGATGAAATGATTCAAGTTCCCCCCAAAATATTTATTTATACAAAGGTTTTGAGAGTAATATTTGTGTGTGTGTGTGTGTGTGTTTGTGTTTAAAAACCTCAGCCCAGGTGAGTCAAGGGCCAAGTCAATCAATGCATAAGAGACACATGAGATTTCCCCCAAATACCACATGTGCCACAGTACCTACTTCCAGGATCAACCAATGAACACAAGGTCTTTGGGAGCTAGGATGGGGAGCCCATGGCACCCCATGGCTGCGTGGATCTGAGGTCTATATGACCATTCTAACCTGGAAGGTGTCTAACAAAAACTCCAAGGAGGGGTGGATTGAGGAAGAGAGTGAGAGGAACTGCCCAAAAGGCAAACAGAGAGGATTAGTTCTTAATTATGATGCATCAGCCAGCCCTCTGCTCCTGAGCTCAAACATACCCACAGGGCTCAGCTGTTTACTCTGGGATTCTCTTAGATGGGTAATATCCCTCTATTGGCCCAAGGATGCAAAGTGATGTATGTAGAAGGGACAGTTTGCAAAAGTAGCAACTCTGTCCCTGATCCCAGGCAGTAAGAGTACAGTTCTGGGAATTTTCCCTTCTTGGTGATCTATATGAAAGAAAAGGCTTGGCTTGTGTGGCTTCAAGAAAATGAAATAGAGATTCCCAAGGACAGATAGGCAGCAGCAACGAGCCAACCTAAATTCAGATCAAAAATGTCATTCCCTCTCAGACATTTTCTACACTTTCTCCCCCTTTCCCCACATTATCCCTCAATTGTAACATAGCAAATCTCCTTGACTTGCCAAATTCCTCTCTCTCCCTACCATTCACAAAGAGCATCACAGAAAAAATCCAAGTATTTTGGAGACACTGACTGGTTTTCCCCCTAGCCAAACCCACACTTTTTTTTTCACCACAGTCATTGTCAGAGCTAGCAAGAAAGAGAAAATGTTCCAAAAGGGAGCCTCTGTCTCAGCAATTGGTCCAGGGCTGACGGTTGTGGTCTCCCGATCTCTAGGTGAAGTCTGTTCTTCTTGTGTTTCCCTAGGAGCAGTTCCGCAGTAACAGTTGTGTTGGGTTTCATTTTTTTTTTCTCTCTCTCTCCTTCTCTCTTGGTCGCAGGTAGAGCTGGCAGCATTTCAGCTGCACTTACAGGACTTTACCACCATGTTGGATAGCTGCTCCACTTTGGGGGTCCTCCCAACATAGTACAGGATGGTCAGAGGCTCCAGGTCTTGGGGCACACAACAAGGTGAAGCGGATGCTTCAGGGTTTAGCGTATTATACAGCCCCAGCACCTATGAAGAGATGTTTTCACATGCGTGAGGAAGCCAAGTCCTGATCAAGCGTACAGCACTAGGCTATGCCCAGATGATTTTTGTACTGTGAACTCTCTCTCTCTCTCTCTCTCAGAACAAGTGATAGAGCAGCCATATCTGCTGCTTAAAGGGTTTTTACTCATTTTTCTTTTAAATATATATCTGCATGAATGAGCAACCAATGCTCATCCACAACAGAAAAAGCTATCAGCATTAGGTCTGTTTAAGAGCTATCAGTTGAGTTCACCAGAACTATCTGAGGACCATCCTCTCAAGACTTTACATTGTCTAACTAAGGTAAATTTCATTTTTAAAAGAACAGTTCTTCAGTGGTTTTGCAAGCTCTTGCACAGACCTCAGTTTCCTCTTCTGTAAAATGAGGGAGTTGAACTAGATGAACTAAAGTTTCTTGGCTCTAAGACATTCCATTAAATCAGGAGTTCTTAACCTGGGGTCCACCCATTTCAGGGGATCCTGAACTGAGATGGGAAAAAAATTACATCTTTATTTTACTATCATTGAATCCCTTCATACATATTGTATACATTTAAAAACGTTACTCTGAGAAGGGGTGCATAGGCTTCACCAGAACTGCCAAAGGGATCCATGATGCAAAGAAGGTTAACAACCCCTGACCATTTGTGGGTCTAATGTGCAATGGAGAGCCACTCTCCATGAATTTCTGCACATTTTTCTCCTCTCCCTTATGTGGAAAAGAAATTCATAGGCAAACTTCAAGGCAGCTTTCTCCCCTCAGTCTCTCTGGCCATAATTTCATCTCTAGGTTTCAAATTACTTTCCCTTAGAACTGTTCTGATTGCTGATCTTTAAGGAGAGTCACTTGCAAGGCAATAGAATCCTAATTTTTTTTGCTGATTTGAGAGGGCTTTCACCTAGAAGTGCTTTGCCTACTATATTCAGGAGTCTCGGATGCATCACTAAAGTTTGCTACCTGTGTGACCCCGAGCAAGTTATGTGGCATCTCTGGTCCTCGTGAATGAAACAACTGAACTATATGGCCTCTGAGGTTGCTTCCAGTTCTAAAGCTATGATGCTATGATCCTATCATCTGGGGTAAAAATGTGAAAGTTATTTAATCCTCACACCATGAAAGTTATAGACAAAGCAGAAATAAAAACAGTCTGCCATTCCTGATTGGAACCATGGAGGGAATTTGAGGAGGTCAAATGTGATTAGGAAGAGTCTAACCAGAAGGTCAATACCAGAGACCCAGGCACAGATCATCAAAACCAAAGAAATGTACTTGAAATGTGGTTAAACCTTCAGAACCCATAGAATAAGAAACATTTCCTGTACCGTGCTATGAGTTGTGTCTGCACTTCGGAGGTATGGGCAAGGACCTGAGCAGAAGTTGGCATAGTAGCCCTTAGGTTCGTGGACCCACTTCCAGCCCAAATCTTGTCGGAAGTCAATGTAGAGAGGACGCACACAACAGTTCTCCTCCAAATTTCTGAAACAAAACGTGTACATATAAAAATTCAGAAAGAGGCTCCAAATAAAAGAAATTTCACTAAAGAGAAATGAGCTTGAAAGTACCAAGCTAACAGCCATTAGAAAAATTTCTGCTGATTAAGACTCAAACACGTTCCTGTAATGGTCCTTTGCAGAGAGGTAGAAAGTCTGTGGTGTTGAATTTGACATATATTTTCAGATTTAAAAAAAAAAGAATCAAATGTGTTAAATGAGCAATTGAGAAGATCCCTCCTTAAGTAGTCAACTAGAGCCCCAAAGATCCAGTTAGTAGATATGTTCAGTTCAGTCATTTTTCCATTTTATCTGACCCCATTTGGGGTATTCTTGTCAAAGATACTGGAGTGGTTTGCCATTTCCTTCTCCAGATGAAGAAACTGAGGCAAAAAAGGGTAAATGACTTGCCATGGGTTACACAGCTAGTAAGTATCTGAGGCAGGATTTGAACTCAAGAAGATGAGTCTACCTGACTCCAGGCCCAGCACTCTATCCACTGCACCACCTAGCTGCTCAGTGGGTAGATACAGAATGTCCTAAAAAGAAAATGAGTCTGTAAAAGTGGCCCTGCCCAGTCTGCACAACATATCTACAGGTAAAAGATTATACAAACAAAAAAATTTCATGCCAGATCAAGTTCTAGACATTATGAACAGATGGTCTCTCTGAGGATGGCCCTATTGATAGTCTTCAAATGACACTTCTATAAATTGACACAGCCCTGCCTAGTTTATGTCATATGGTAAACGGATGTTTAGGCTGAACCCTTAGTCCACCTAATCAAATGCTAATGCCCAACGTTTCTTCTAATGAGTACCTTAAAGAGAGAGAACATGGCAGAGTGCTGAGCTTAGAGTCAGGAAGACATGCTAGCTGGGTAATCATAGGAAAGTTACTTAAAAGCCAGTGCCCGAGGGGCAGCTAGGTGGTGCAGTGGACAGAGCACCGGCCCTGAAGTCAGGAGGACCTGAGTTCAAATCTGGCCTCAGACCAAACATTTGACACTTACTAGCTGTGTGACCCTGGGCAAATCACTTAACCCCAACTGCCTAAGCAAAAAAAAAAAAAAAAATCCAGTACCCCAGATAGCCCTCAAAGGCCATATGTTCCAGACAAGTTGCCTATCTGCATTGGTAAAGGGAGTTTCCACACTGGGAGTTCCTTCATACCTAAAGGATCTCAAACACCAGAACATGTGATCTGGTCAATAGTATGTCCCTGAGCTACACTGCCTAAGAAAGAATTATAAAATTTCCCACCTTAAAATAAAAGCAACATTTAATAGTGCTCACATTTACTTAGCAATAGGTGATAGCTCTTTTTGGCTCATAACCTCTTACAAATAAGGCAGCCCCATATCTGTCTTATTTTTTTTCTGGGACTCTCCTCTCCCTAGAACCCTTCATAGGGATCTAAGAACTTATTTAAAAACAACTTGTCATCACATTTTTCTCCAAATACTTACATGACATGAAAATTCTGGGAAGAAAACCAATCCATGCTAAGCATAACTACCCTCTCTTGTTTCTTCCCTCATTTCTTCCCTCTGTTTCTCTGTCTCTCTGGTTTTCTGACTGGACCTGTGATTTAACTGGTCTAGGGGACTCTGTGGTAACTCCCTTTTCTAAAACAGATCAGCTATTCTTCTGTAACTCAGAGTCATAGAGAGTTGTCTATGGTACATGCCCAGGGTTGAAACCGAGCCTTTCTGACTCTGAGGCTAGCTGTCTGTCCACTATTCTCGGATATTGCTCTTCCTTTTCCTTACTGACCCCTTCAAAGGAATCTGCCTTCACACAACTTAATGTTTTTGACAAGGGGAACTTCCCAGGTGAATTGAGGATTACCTGAAGCAGTAGTTGGTATCAAGAGCCCGTTTCTTCCTTTGGCCTCCCTGGCCTGGACTGTCAAGGCGATGTGGAGGAATCATCATCAAAATCAAATGAGGATTGTGGTGATCTTTTTGTTTCTTCAGTCGCCCAAGATCTCCACGCCCATAATCTTCCTCACTGTCAACACCTAAATGGAAAGAATTGTATAATGTTCATCATTTAAGAGAGATGAACTTGAAAGAAGCAAAAGGTAGAGACATTTGGTGACTTTTTAGCAATAAGACTCCTTTTTCTTTTATTCTGGCTCAAACTATGCGTTGAAAAGGTGGTAGTGATTTATTCTGGAAAAGTGGGCTTAAACCCTCCATCCATTTCATTCAAGTAGCAAAATAGTGATGATTTATAGATGGCACAAGAGTAGAGATTCTACTGCTATGCATATGCCCAAGAATTTTTAAGAGAATAAGAAAGATACCATCTACAATCAAAATATTTAGAGTAGCACTTTCTGTAGAAGTAAAGACCTCAAAACAAAGTGGATGCCCATTGGTTACGGAATGTCAAAACAAATTGTGTTATATGAATGTAATGAAATTACCTTCTGCCCAATAAGTAAGGATAAATATGAAGAATACAGAGAAGCATGGTGGAACTCACATGAACTAATTAAAAGTGAAGTAAGCAGAATCAGGAAAACAATGTGCACAACAACTACAACCATATAAAAAGAAACAACAGCAAATTAAAACAAAGTTAGGTAATTATAATGACCAAGAATGGCCTCAGAAAAGGGATCAACTAATCAATTAACAAGCATTTACTCAGCACCTATGCTGTACCAGGCACAGATTCAAACTATCCCTACTCTCAAGGAACTTATATTCTAATGATTTGAGAATGAACCTCTTTCCCTTCTCTGTGGAATGACTATGGGTATAGAACACTGAATATAATGTTGGACTTGGTTAATAGTTAGTTTCCTGGAATGGTTCTTCTTTTTTTCTTCTTTGTTAGAAAGGAAAGATTTCTCTGAAAGGGGAAAGGAAGGGATATATTGGGAAATGTAGGTAATATATAAAAAAAAGATTAGTAATAAAAATTTAAAAAGGAAACACTTCTTATATATAAACAGTATTAAACATAGCTGCTAAAGACATAAAATCCTCTGCCAACATAAGGATGTATACTCCTCGAGATTTGTGTGTGTGAATGCCCATGGAACAGATAGAGAGTGCTAAGATGTTGGCTTCTAAACTCAGTCCCACTTGTGAATACTCATGGATCTGTTGTTCATTGAGTCTAGCATCTTGAATGATAATTCTAAAATGATTTCCCTCATAATTAAGGAGTCAGAAGAGATCTCAGAGCACATATAGTCCAACCCTACAATCCTCCAACAAGCTCTTGTCCTAGCTTCCACGTGAACACCTTCCATGAAGAAGAGTCTACTGTCTCACAGGCATCCCGTTCTATTTTTAGACAGCTCTAATTATGAGAAAGTTCTTACATGAGAGGCAACAACACTAGATAAAGAGCTGCCCTCAAAGTCAGGTTGTCCTGGGTTCAAGTTTCTCCACTGACACATATTCATAACTCTGGACAAGTCACTTAAAGCAATGCTCCAGGCATCTCTATACAGAGGAAGTTGGTTGAGGAAGTTGTTTAAGGAAGTTTTCCTCACTCAGGAGTTCCCTATACTAATGAAATCACAGGTCTAGTCTCTACTTATGGCACCCAAATCTGTCTCTCTTCTACTTTCACTCATTGCAGTAGTTATATTTCCTAGAACCAACAAGAGTAAGTCAAATTTCTTAATCACCTAAGAGCCCTTCAAATATTGAAGACAGCTACTGTATCACCCTGCTATCTTCTTGTTCCTGACTATACTTGGCATTGTTCCATATATCCATAGAGTACTCTAAGATGTCACAACTAAAGAGAACCTGGGTCCAAAAGGGTACATGATTTACACACAAAGGGCACTACCATAAGCAAATTAGGAAAACATGGAATGGTTTACCTATTAGATCTATAGATAGGCAAAGAATTTAGGATCAAACAAGGTATAGACAGCATTTCAAAATGTAAAATAGATAATTTCAATTATGTAAAATTCAGACTTTTTGCACAAACAAAACCAATGCAACAGAAATCAGAAGGAAGGCAGAAAATGGGGGAAATTTTTGCAACAAGTATCTCTGATAAAGGTTTCATTTCTCAAATATATAGAGAACTGAGTCAAATTTATAAATGAGTCAAATGATAAATGGTCAAAGGACATGTACAGGCAGTTTTCAGACAAAGAAATCAAAGCTATCTATAGTCATATGAAAAATGCTCTAAATCACTATTGATTAGAGAAATTCAAATTAAAATAACTGTCAGTTACCACCTCACACCTATCAGATGGGCTAACATAACAAAAAGGGAAAATGATAAATATTGGAGAGGATGTGGTAAAACTGGGACACTAATGCATTGTTGGTAGAGTTGTGAACTGAACCAACCATTCTGGAGAATAATTTGGAATTATGCCCAAAGGGCAATCAAACTGTGCATACCCTTTGATCCAGCAATACCATTGCTAGATTTGTATCCCAAAAAGATCAAAAAAGAGAGGAAAGGACCTCTTTGTACAAAAATATTTTTAGCAGCCCTTTTTGTGGTGGCTAAGAATTGAAAATCAAGGGGATGTCCATCAATTGAGGAATGGCTGAACAATCTGTATGTATATGTATGTATGTATATGATTGTGATGGAATATTATTGTGCTATAAGAAATGATGAGCAGGATGGTTTCAGAAAAACCTGGGAAGACTTACATTAACTGATGCAAGTGAAGTGAGCAGAACCAGGAGAATGTTGTACACAGTAATAGCAATATTGTATGATGATCTGTAAATGACTTAGCTATTCTCAGCAGTACAATGATCCAAGACAATCCCAAAGGACTCATGATGAAACATGAAGTCTGAAAACAGACTGAAACGTACTATTTTCACTTTCTTTTTGTTGTTGTTGTTCAAGTCTTCTTATACACAATGAAAAATATGGAAATGTTTTGCACGATTGCACATGTATAATCTATATTGGATTGCTTATTCAGGAAGGGGGGAGGGAAGGAAGTGTGGGAGGAATGGAATTTGGAACTCAAAACTTATAAAAAACACAAATGTTAAAAATTATTTTAATATGTAATTGGGGAAAAATAAAATATTATGTTAAAAAAGAAAACTTGGACATTGATAATGACAATTTATACTTGTGTTGTGCTTTATAGTTTATAAAGTGTGAATACAGATATCCTCTCATTTGATGGAAGGGTCCAGAGTAAGAAAACTAATAGGATAAGCAAGATTGAAAAATAATAATCGTGAAAAAAACAGAAAAGAATTGGGACTTTTTCATTAGAAAAAGGGAAGGCTGAAACACAATTTAATAATGTTGCCAAACTGATGAAGACATTTTTTAATAGAGAATAGCTATCAGATGTTCTTCTATACTGAGGGAGAAGAGAAAACTCATGTATGGGGCTACAAGTGGGAATTAGACCTTAGGAAGGGTGATTAGACTGTAAGGATTATGAGAGATGGTAGTAATAGAAAAACTGAAGAGGGCAGAAAGGAATAAGCATTTATTAAGTGCTTACTATGAACGAGGTGCTATACAAATATAATCTCATTTGATCTTCACAGTAACCTTGGGAGGTAGGTGCTTTTGTTATTCCCATTTTACAATTAAGGAATCTGAGGCAGACAGAGATTAAGTGACTTGCCCAGGGTCACATAGCTAGTAAGTGTCTGAGGCCAGATTTGAACTCAGATCTTCTAGACTTCAGGCCCAGTGCTCTACCCACTGTACCACCTAGCTGCCTAGAATATAGATCAAGTAGTAAAATCACCTTTCATAAATGTTTTCAGAATAAGATCAATATCCACTGGTTTGAAGTGATTGAAGCACAGCCTTGCCCAAGGGTGGGGAACCTCTGGTCTCAAGGCCACATGTAGCCCTCTAGGGTCTTTAAGTGTGGTCCTTTGACTGAATCCAAACTTCAAAGGGCCACACTTGAGGACCTAGAGGGCCACATGTGGCCTTGAGATCAGAGGTTCCCCACCCTTAGCCTTGCCCATAGGAAAGAAGCAATGAATTATATGAGCCTTCTACATCTCCCTGCAAGAGTTCGGTGAGTCTAAGATTATATGATTAAGTTGTCAGATGCTTGGCATTCTAGAAGAAGAGGTTCTGAAACAGAACCCATAGGGGTTAAGAACATTGCCCAGGACAGGAAGCCGAGAGATTCCTGTATCATCTCCTAGCCAAACCACTGTGTCAACACAGCTTTGGACAGCTTGCCTGACCTCAGGCATGCCTTGATCACCAAAGCTGAGAGAATGAATGAAAAAATAGCAACTTGAGCTGAAAACCAGTAAGCACATCGGAGCAAAGTTTCCTAGAAACATATTTAGATACAGAAATGACTTTTACATGTTTTGCATTTAAATAAAAGTACAACGTAAAAATATAGAGCCTAGAAGCATTATACACATATGTTTCGTTTAGTCGTTTTCAGTCATGTCTGATTCTTTGTGACCCCATTTGCAGTTTTCATGGCAAAGATACTGGAGCAGTTTGCCATTTCCTTCTCCAGCTCATTTTACCGATGAGGAAACTGAGGCCAACAGGGTTAAGTGACTTGCCCAGGGTCAAACAGCTAATAAGTGTCTGAGGCCAGATTTGAACTCAGGAAGAGTCTTCCCGATTCTAGGCCGGGCATTCTATCCTCTGTGCCACCTAACTGTCCCAATTAGGCATGAACCATATGGGAACTTGATATATATTTGTTGAATGAATGAATCAATTCATATGCCCGCCTACTAGAGTGTATTCTTTCTGATGAAGAGTAATCACTTGTTGAGCATAATAGATAGCTAATATTGTAGATTGTTTGTCATGTAGAAGAGATGAATTTAAGAGAAGCAAAAGGTAGAAATTGTTGGTTGAGCATAATAGATATAATGGAAGACTTGGAGTCAGAAGAACCTGGGATTGAAATCTGCCTCAGACATTTACTAGCTGAGTGACCCAGGGCAAGTCACTCAACCCCTTAGAGCCTTAGTTTTCTTGTTGGTTAAAAAACAACAACCCTAAACCAAAAAAACAAAAACAAAATCAAAAACCAAAAAACAAATAATAGCATCTACCTCACAAGGTTGATATGAGAATCAAGTGAGGCAATACTTATCAAGTGATTTGAGGGGCAGCTAGGTGACGCAGTGGATAGAGCACAGGCCCTGGAGTCAGGAGGACCTGAGTTCAAATCCGGCCTCAGACCAAACACTTGACACTTACTAGACTAATGTTCAGTCCCATATATTTGGGAGATAGTATACATACTCAAACAGTTATGTGTCTGGGCCCTTGATTCCTGTTCTTGGAATCTTGCCCAGATTCTTCCCCATCTAATTCCATTTGTTTCCCCAGGCTACTTTGTATGGATATGTACTGTTACCTTTGAATTTGATCTCCATCACCTCATGAATGTTCTCCAAGATGTCTCCGTTAGGTTGGAAGGTATGACATGGACAATGAATGCTGATTTCTAGCCCCAGGTTGGACTCTGTGGAGGAAAGACATGGTCTGTAAGAAACAGGTTTTGCTTCCTGGGGAAGTATACAGCTAGCTCAGATGTAGACCCAGACTCCTTTCAAGATTAGAGAGTAAGAGTGGGACCCTGTAAAATATAATGAAAAGTGGAAAAAGCCCCAAAGCTAATTATTGTGGGCATTCTACCCTTGGAGGGAAAAGAAATTCCAGTAATTCATTCATTCATTCATTCATTCAATAGGCATTAAATAGATACCTGCTATATACAATGTATTGTGCTAGATGGAGGTGTCAGGAGGTGGGAGAAAGATCCAAGAATAAATGAGACCCAGTTCCTGCTCTCAAGGTTATACATTATCAATAATTCTAGTGATAAAAATTGTCCTCCTAGGAATCATGAAGAAATTCAGAATGAATCCTCCTTTCCTTTTTTCTAGGACACATGAGCATCATCAATGAAGAAATCTATTAGAGGGCAATTTCATTTCTTATTATGAAAAGATCAACATCATATTAGTCTTTTATAGAACAGCCCCCTGCTCTAAAGAAGTTTCTATTCTATTTCAAAGGCTTTCTCCCCAGTTGTTTCAGACATTCATTTTCTAAATACATTTCTGGCTATTGGAAACAAACATGCTTTTATGAATGGTCAGCTACAGTAGCAGCTGCTAGGTGCCGATTAGTACAAATAATAAATCACCAGAAGTGGTCATATGTATTCTAATTCACACTATTCGAAGTTATGGTTTTGTGAAATATCTACATTGGTTCCAGCCCAATAGAAATGCCATGCAAATTCAAATAATGTGATCCCTTCACAGGATTGCTTGGAACTGGAGCCATATGCAAAAGCTTACTGAGCTTAGCTCTACCAAATCAGTTACTTCTCCACTGTAGCCTTCCTCCAGGCCACAGTGAAGCATCATGATAGAGTTTTAATGCAAGCGACACATTATTATCTACAACATTATAAAGGAATATATGTGTTCTTCAGTGCTTGAAGGGGAAGAATTGGAACTATTTGGATAAAGAGAGTGATATTACAAGAAAACTCTATCTTCTAATTAAGAAAAACTCATAGAGGAGTTTGAGATGAAGGGCAGAGTATATAACTGCCTGCTTGGGGTAGGGTAGGGTATTTAGTATAACCTTTCACTGGGTTCCCAATCTCATCAATGTGGATATTCCCTTGGTTGGCATAGATCATAACCCATGCGTACCATCGTATCCTGTGCTATTCTTATCTAGGTCCTTCTATAACTCTCCAATAGTCAATCTATTCAACTTGCCAGAGGCCTTACAGTAGAGGAGGGACTCAACCTTTTTGTGTTCCATGGACTCTGCTAGAAATCTGGTGAAGCCTATGAACCCCTTCTCAGAATAAAGTTCTTAAAAGCATAGAATAAAATACATAGGATTACAAAGGAAACCCATTACACACAAATACAATTATCAATTTTTTTTAGAGTTCATAGACCCTAGGTTAAAACTCCTGCTATAGGTATTTCAATATTTCATGGTCATCAGTGCATTATCCCTTCATCTCAATAATACATGACAGGCTTACTACCTCTTTAAATCTTACATATTCTTTATGCTATCTTTTTTATACTAATTCTAGTCTACAAGGTATCTATGGCAGTATGTGGTCACCTATTTATACCCACCATGTGTATCTACATTGCCTTTTGGTTAATGTATGAGTTTGATTCTTCAGAAAGTATAGCCTTCTATGATTCACATTCATATAGCAAGGGAATACTAATATTAAAAGGGATTTTGCTTTGTTTGTTTTTGGCACCAAGGAGTGACTTGGGATCATTAACAGTCCTACGCAATTTCCCAAAAGGGATAAAGCCTTCTATCCTCCTACTCAATTTTGGGTCCAGTCCATTGTCCATCTGTAATACTATCCAAGATATAGCAGACTATTAGACTAATTCAATTCCATCCAATGGTAAATCATAAGCTAGGCAATTTGCATTCTTCATATGCTTGTCCTATCAGTCTATTAGTCATAATGTATGGCATAAAAGTCAAGGTGAGTCAACAAGGTGAAGCATAGACCTTGGACAAGTCACTTAACCTCTCTGACCCTCAGTTTCCTCACCTGTGAAATGGATAATACTTGTATCTACTTAACAAAGTTATTGTGAGATTCAAATTAGATAATGCATCTAAAGCACTTTGTTAACTCAAATGCAATTTATATATATATATATACATATATATATATATGTATATATATTTTAGCTATTATCATAGTCCCCAGCAGGATGGGAGATCTGGCAATGGCAATGCTCCAACAGGAAAACTCTAAGAAGAACAGAAGATTGCAGTTCATCTCTGACCAGGGAAGCCTCAGTGGGGATAGAAGACTACAGCAGTGTCCCTTCCAGGGAAGCCAACCATAGACCTCTAACAGGGGACATTGATGCCTACTGGTATGCCCAGCCATGTCAGAGAAGGTAAAAGCCAGTCGAAGGAACTCAGAAAATTGAGTTCATGTCTAAACAGAGCCTCACTACACCATCTAAGAGTGTGGGAAGAGACAGAGCATGATCCTGGCACAAAGTTCCAGATCAGAACCTAAGGTTGGGAGATAATAACAATAACAGAAGAAAACACTGAACACTACAAAGAAGTATTATGAATTAAGAGATCCTCAAAAGGAAAGCTCAGAAGAAAATAGCTCTACAATAAGTACTAGCAAAGCCTCATTAAAAAAGAATAGTTTGGCCACAAGAGTATCTGGAAGAAATGATGTAAGAGTTTTTTTTTTTTTTTAATAAAACAAGAGCTCTGTAGGAAAAAAAAAACTGGAAGAATAAATAGCTTAGGTCAGATAGTAGAAAACCTTCCTCGATATCAGACTTCTTGATAATGAAAATAGATCAAATATAACTCAATGATTTGATGATATGACAAAAAAATTAGAAAAAAGAAAAATGTGTTATATACTTAAAAGGAAAAACAAGCTGTATTTAATAGAGATTTGTGGCTTCATGTACAATTCTTTTTCCTTTTCTATTTTGTATATGAAAATACTACTTTTATTTGGTATTTCTTAAGTTTAGAATTTAAAAAATAGAAACTATAGGACAGCTCCTATCCAGTTCCTATTTATTATCTATTCCTAGTATCTAGCACAGTGCCTGCCACACAATAGATACATAATAAATACTTGTTGAGTTTGGGGGAAAGGATAAAATCAAAAGATTGAACAAATAGAAGAAAATATAAAGTAACTATCAAAAACAATGTCCTAGAAAACATGTCAAGTACTGTAATAATCATCAGATTCTTTCAAACCTTTGACCAAACAGAAATCCTGAATATATTTCAAGAAACCATAAGTAAAAACATCCCATATTTACTAGAACTAGAGGGCAAAATGACAACAAAAACAACCCACTGGTCATCTGAAAGAAATCCCAAAATGAACATTCCCAGGGGTGTTATAGCCAAAATTCAGAGGTTTCAGGGTAAAGAAAAAAAGTAGCACAAGTAGCCAGAAAGAAAGAATTCAAAGGGCAAGAAACCACAGTCAGGATCATATAAGACTTGGTAGAAACTACTATAAAGGAGAGAAAATCTTGGAATATAATATTCCAAAAGGCAAAAAATAAAAGCTTACAACCAAGAATAATTCATTCTTCAAAACTGAATTATCTGAACCTTTAATAGAATAGAGGACTTTCAAACATTCTTTTTTTTTTTTTGAGGCAATTGGGTTTAAGTGACTTGCCCAGGGTCACACTGCTAGTAAGTGTCTAAGGTCAGATTTGAATTCAGGCCCTCTTGACTCCAGGACCAGTGATCTATTTATTGTGCCACCTAGCTGCCCCTCAAATATTCTTGATGAAAAGATCAGGACTTGATAGAAACTTTGAAATGTAAATAAAAGGGTCAAGAAAAACCTAGGAAGATAAATAATTTAGGCAGTTGGGAGGAGCTAGATGAACAGGAGGAGAAGAGACAAGTGACTCCTTCATAGTCTTCAAGGGTCATAGAGGGAATTAAATAAAGTGAACCAAGGTCTTGAAGGTAGTTATGTTCCGTATTGATGGTCTTAAGAGAGGACAGAGTAGGGAGGGGGAAAGGAATATACTAAGGAAGAAAAAAGACAAAGCAGAGTTGACACACACAGTTTAATGTAGTAATACATAAAATTCAAGAGGGAAATAGAAGACAGGTAAAGAAAAGGAGAGGTATTTAAGAGGAAGGGTAAAGTCACAGAGGGAATAATCATAAACAAAATAAATTACTTCAGATGGTGGAATATTAAAGAGGGATTAAGAATCAAGGTACAATAATTAAGTGCTTATTATGTGCCAGGCACAGTGAAAAAGTCAACAATTAAACTGAAAGCGAAGCCAAAGGGAAAACAGTATTTCAAGCACTGTTTCAGGAAGACTGTTGCCATGTTGGACTTCACTTCCTATACCTTGGCAATCTTCTGCACACACTTACCAGGAGTGTATCATCTTCCCTCTTCAGTTCTAGAATCATGATCAAATCAACACTGCCATTATTCTGGAAGAGGTGTGTCAATCTACTCCCTGTGGCTCTAATCACCATCCCTGTGTAACTGGGGTCTGACCCATGTGTAGAACACCTGGGAAATGGTTTAAGCACAGATCACCTAGGATGAAAGTCTTTCCATGTGGAGAGGTTAAGGAACCAACTTCCAAGACAGTATCAAAGGCTTGGAATGGAAGTGTCTTGGACAGATCATGGAGCAGGCATGGACGTTCTATACCAGTTCCAGTCTTAACCGTGTGATTAGGAGAAGCTTTTTTCAATTGGGTGTGTAGGCAGATCTAGGGCCATAATCAAAAAGGCTTTTCCTAATCATACAGTTAGCAAACTCTTTTTTTCCAATTAAGACAGATGGAGACAAGAGTAGTTTATCAAGCCGCTTTGTATAACAGTGATCTCTCCTCCAGTACTGGAAGTATTCAAGGACAGGATGGATAACCACGCCATAAATGCTGTATTTGAGATTCCTGCGTTGGGTGACAAGTTGGACTAGATGACATCTAAAGGTCTCTTCCAGCTTGAAGACTTTATGATTCTATGAGTTAGGTGGTCAAAGAGGGCAGCTAGATGACACAGTGGATAAAGCTCCAACCTTGGAGGCAGGAGGACATGAGTTCAAATCTGGCCTCAGACACTTGGTACTTACTAGCTGTATGACCCTGGGCAAGTCACTTAACCCTGGTTGCCTCACCAAAAAAGAAAAAAAAAGAGTTAGATGGTCAAAACTGAGATAAATGAGTAGAGTTGAATGGTGAGGATCAGGTGAAAATACATATGGAAAATTGTCTGGCCAGGTCCAGTAGACCTTGGTCCAGCCAATAGGTCTTGAAAAGAGAGTAGGCAGGAAGTCACAGGGAAAGTTCCAAAAAAACCATGAAGGACAAAAAGGAGGAAAACGTAAATAATGGTGGAGACACACAGGGTCAATGTCCCCACATTCACTGAGAGCCAGAATGATTCTAACTTTGCAGCATTTCATTTAACATGATACTGGAAAAGCTAACAATTCAGCTTTCCAGATGTGTGTGATTTAAAAATAATCAACAAGATTTAAGTGCCTACTACCTGGCAGGCTAATCAGCTTAGATTACAATGAGGGAGACAAGTAAATATTTAAATGTATTCAATATAAATATAAAATGAATAAATAACAACTATATATGAAGTACTTAAATGCAAGTAGTCTGCATGGGAGGGCACGAGCAGTTGGGGGAATCAAAAAAGGTTTCATGTAGAAAATGGTGCTTGGGCTATGGGAAAACAGGTAAATTTATACTCTGTTGGCAGAGCTATGAGCTCATCCAGCCATTCTGAAAAGCAATTTGGAACTATGCCCAAAAGGTTATTAAACCTTGCTTATCCTTTGATCTAGAGATACCACTACTGCCCCTAAACCCCAAAGAGATCACAGAAAGTAGAAAGGGATCTATTTGTACAAAAATATTTATAGCAGCTTTTTGTTTGTGTGTGTGTATGGTGACAAAAAAAATGGAGACTGAGGGAGTGCCCATCAATTGATGAATGACTGAGCAAGTTACGGCATATGAATGTGATATAATACTATTATGCTGTAAGAGATGATGAAGGGGACAGTTTCAGAAAAACATAGGAAGACTTGTATGAACTGATGCAGAATGAAGTGAATGGAAGCAGAACAATTTGTACAACAAAGACAATATTTTAAAGACAAACAACTTTGAAAGACTTGGGAATTCTGACTCATACAATGACAAATACAGTTCCAAAGAACTCATGACAAAACACACTATCTAAAAAAAAATAAAAAAATAAAACATACTATCTACCTCCAGATAGAGAAGTGATGAACTCAGAGTGCAAATTAAAGCATTTTTTTTTAACATGGCCAATTCAAGACTTTGTTTTGCTTAACTTCTTGTTGTTCAGTCATATCTAGCTCTTTGTGACCCCATTTGGGGTTTTCTTAACAAAGATACTGGAGTGGTTTGCCATTTCTTTCTCCAGCTCTTTTTATAAATGAGGAAACTGAGGAAACAGAGTGAAGTGACTTGCCCAGGGTCATACAGCTAGTAAATGTCTGAGGCCAGTTTTGGACTCAGGAAGAGGAGACTTCCTGACTCCCAGCCCAGCACTCTATCCACCTCTTTGCTTGACTATGTATGTTTGTAACAGAGGTTTTGTTTTTCTTTCTTTCTCAGGGCAGGGGTGGGAGAAGAGGTGGGAAGGAGAGGAGGCAGATTTTCTTTGCTTGAAAAAAATAAAATTTCATTAAAAAATATAAAATGGTACTTGAGCTGTGTCTTAAGGGAAAAGAAGGACGCTGAGGTAGAGGTAAAGAATGAATGCATTCCATGTGTGAGGGATGGTCGCTGCAAAGGCACAGAGATGAGGGATGGGATGTCCCATGTGAGAAGTACAGCAAAGTCAAAAACTTTGTCCCACTGGCTGTAAGAAAGTCTAGTCCCAGCTGTGGCAGCTAGGTGGCACCATAGTGCACAGAGCACTGGGCTGGGAATCAGGAAGACATCTTCCTGCATTCAAATCTAGCCTCAGACACTTACTAGCTGAGTGACCCTGGGCAAGTCACTTGCCCTATTTGCTGCAGTTTCCTTATCTGTCAAATAAGCTGGAGAAGGAAATGGCAAACTACTCCAGTATCTTTGCCAAGAAAACCCCAAATGATTCCGGAAGAGTTGTACTGAAATGACTCTACAACGACAAAAGTCCCGGCTGTCCTACTAACTAGTTAAAACTATGTGACCTCAGAAAAATCACTCAAACTCTCTGCCCCCATTTTTTTCTCTCTAAACAAATGGTGACATTACCCCCTGCCCTACCTACCTCATAAAGCTGTTTTTGATAGTCAAATTAACATATGAAAGTGCCACAAAAATATAAAATGCCCTATCAATGTAAGACATTTTTGTTTACCTCCCACACTGAGGGAAACATTTGTCTTTGGGGCAACAAGGAACTCTGGTAACAGAACTATTATGATTAGTTAATGATGGACTCACATTTATTAGGAAAAGCTAATAAACATGGGTTACATAATTACTCATGCCTGGGGTGTGAATAGAATGGTCTCCGTTGTTAGTAGGCTCCCTGTGTAAGTAGATATTCACTATTTATGGAAATATACAAATGACCTTTGTTTCCTCACACTGAGGAACTCCCTGAGTGATTTCTCTCTTGACCACTTCCACTAAGGCAGATTGCAACTTGTCTATTGCTTAAGTAGATCAAGATAGAAATACTGGTTGCTGCTCTCAGAACACTGCAATCATGAAAATAAATCGACAAAAAGAAATCCAGATGAGCCTAATTAACCTCGGACAGTTAGTCTAAGAGGAATTTAATATCAGAGGCCTCTTCTCTCTGTTCCATTTTTATTAGGTTTTTATGAAACTCTGCCGGAATGGGAAGCCCCAGGGCATGTTCTGCAGGGAATTGTTTGTATTCTCTTAGGGAAGCAGGAGAGAATGATAGGGTGCCTGGGAGAAGAGGGAGAATTGATAGGATTGTGCCCTCCAGACACTTAGAGCTTGTGGAAGGACCTTACCCCACTACCCCTCAGCCTTACTTACCATTTTGTACTCCTTTAAAAAACAGAAACAGTAACCAAGTAATAGATGAGACACTGTCGGTGTCAGGAAGACTTTGGGTCCAAATACTGCATCAGTTATTGTTCAGTCATTTTTTCAGTCATTTCGATTCTTTGTGACCCTGTCTGGGGTTTTCTTGGCAGAGATACTGGAGTGGTTTGCCATTTCCTTCTTCAGCTCATTTTACAGATGGGGAAACTGAGGCAAACAGGGTTAAGACACTTGCCCATGGTCACATACCTAGTAAGTATCTGAGGCTGGATTTGAACTCAGGACGATGAGTTTTCCTGACTCCACTATACCATCTAGCTGCTCTAAATCCTGCTTCAGTCACTTATTAACCGGGTGACCCTAGGCAAATCACTTACCCTCTGTATGCCTCAGTTTTCTCATCTATAAAATTAGGAGATTGGACTCAATGGCCTCTTTTTTCCCCCCAGCTCTAACTCCATGGTCCTGTGATTGACTTAGTAATAGACAAGTTGCGATCTGCACTGGTGAAGGCAGTCAAGGGAGCGACCATTCGGGATATTCCCTAGCTGAGGAAATCAAGGCCCTTTGCACGTTTTCAACAATAGGGGTCACACAGGTAGCCTCGGAATGAAGTCCATACCAACCACACCCTGGGCATAAGTCACTGTGGATGGGGCAGGGGCGAATGCGAGTAGCAGCCGTCGGAAGTAACCATCCCTGCCAGTCAGAGAGAGGGGAGGGCTCACCTCTGTGGAGAAGCCATTCCCGAACTGTGTCAGTGACATCGAAGGACAGCCACTCCGCCGTGCCTCGAGTGGGCAGGTTTTTGCCACTGATGTAGCGCTGTTTGGCGATGTGCTCATCAGGCCGCAGGATCTGTGGGGCAGAGAGAGGACTGAGCTCTCAACCGACCAATCAGTATTTATTAAGTACCTACCACGTTCCAGGCATGGGGCTAAGCCCTAGGGATATGGAAAGAGGCAGAAAACAGACCCTTTCCTTAAGGAGCTCGCAATCTCATGGAGGAAACAAGGAACAAGCAGACATGTACAAACAAGCTATATACAGCATAAATAGGAAATGATTAACAGAGCTGGGAGACAGGACACCAATCTGATGAGATATTATTTGTAAAGTACTTACTTGGCACTGCCCCTGGCTGATAGTAGGCACTGAATAAATGCTTTTTCCCATTTCTTCCCTAACCCCCATCAATCAACATTTATTAAGCACCTACTGTGTGCCAAGCCCTGTACTTTGTATTTGTACAAATAAAAGAATACCACAGTCACTACCCTTAAAGAGCTCAAATTCTATGGGGAGATAAGAAATGTGTATATGTGTGTGTATATATGCGTATACATACACACATGTGTGCATGCACACACATGTACATAAACATGTGTGACCACGGGCACATACACACATGTGCGCACATGTTTGTGCGTGTGTGCATTTATATACATGTGGGTAAGCATGGGTATATGCCCACGTGTATGCTCAAATACATACACACATGTATGTATGTGAACACACACTTATATGCATATGTGTAAACAGGTGTGCATCTGTACGCATATACATATACACATAACTATATATGCATACACATATGTGTGTACTTACACATTTATATACAGGTATGTAAATATATGTATATATCCATGTGTATATCTGCACACATATGCATGTGCATATGTATATATTTTGCACAAATGTGTAAAATGTATATGGCCATGGATAGATGCACATACGTATGTATATACACCCACACTTATATATATATGTGTAAGCACCTGTGTGCATCTCTGTGTATGCATGCACATGTATGTTCATGCACATGTGTGTATGTATGCACATTAAAATACATGTATGTGAATGCATGTATGTGTCCATGCATGTGTGTGGGGGTGGGTAGGTACACATACAAGCAGCTAGTGGTGCAGTGGATGGAGTGCTGGGTATGGCGTCAGGAAGACCTGAGTTCAAATCTAGCCTCAGACACTTACTAGCTGTGTGACCCTGGGCAAGTCACTAAATCAACTTGGCCTCAGTTTCCTCATCTGTAAAATGAACTGAAGAAGGAAATGGCAAGCCATTCCAGTATCTTTGCCAAGAAAACCCAAAATGGGGTCATGAAAAGTGGACATGACTAAAAAACAACAACAACATTCACTTCTATCTATATTAAATGTATGCAGAATAAATATGAAGAGAATAAATATAAAGTAGGTACATGGGTGGTAGTTTGAGAGGGAGAACACTCATGTTTGGGGAATGATCAAGAAAGGCTTCATGAACATAGAAGGTGACGTTTATGCTCTGTCTTGAATAATAATAATAGCTGGCACATAAAGCACTTTAAGATTTTCAAAGCATTTTACAAATATTTCAATGATCCTCACAACAACCCAGAGAAGTAGATGTTATTATTATCCCCATTTTACAGGTGAAGAAACTGAGGCAGATAGAAGCTAAGCAACTTGCCCATGGTCACATAGCTAGTAAACATCTGAGACAGGATTTGAACTCAGGTCTTCCTGACTCCAGACCTAACACTCTTACCACTGCATCACCTAGCTGTCTCTTTTTGAAGGAAGAGAGGCATTTTATGAGGAAGGCATACTTTCTAGGCATGGAGGTACAGCCAACTGAGCACAGGGGGAGAATTGTATGTCCCCAAACTCCAACAGGAATTCATGAGACTTCAAGCAGGATAGGAATTAGCTCAGGAAAATTAAAAAAAAAAAAAAGATGGTTCTTGAGCTGTCAAAGGAAAAGAAAGATTCTGAGGTCGAGGTAAGGAGGAAGTACGTGCCATGCTAGGGGATGGCCAAGGCAAAGGCAGAGGTGGGAGAAGGAATGGTGTACGTGAGAAGGGTAGCAAAGTGAGTGAAAGACCTCTCCACTGGGACAAAGAAGTTCTAGTCTCAGTTCTCTTGCTAAGTAGCTGTGTGACCTCCAAAAAATCACAACCTTTCTGGCCCCCCATTTTTTTCTTCAAACATATGGGAACGATACCACTTGTCCTATGTGCCTTATGAGATTGTTTTTGATAGTCGGAAGGGACCACAAAGGCCATCTGGTCTAATCCCTTCATTTTTACAGATGGGAAACTGAGGCCTGATAAAGTTAAATAACCAGGCCAAATTTCAAAGAAGGAGTAAGTGCCAGAGATGGTATTAGAATTGAGATCTTCTGAGTCTTTCTGTTGTAGCACCCCCTTGCCATTTGTGGAAATTAGGGACTTGTGATTTCTCTCACATATCAAGGCCCATCCTGACCTTTCGGAGGCTGCTAGGAATCAGGGAGTAAAAGCATGCGGTAGCTCTCTTCCGAATGGGAGGATGGGGTCTGCCACTTAGGGGGGAGTGTCTAATGGGTCAGGGAAGGAGCTTTGCCACCACTGACGGGAGGAGATGGAAGGGCTGGGAGCTCACCTGAAAGAGCTCGATTCTCTGCTCCGTGCGTTTGGCGTTGGGGTTGGGCACCCTCAAGACTCGGAATTCAGCTCGGAATAAATTGGTTCCATTCTTCTCCACCGAGGACACGTTGAAGCGGAAAACCTTGGAGGTAATCCCTTTGGGACACACGCTCAGCTCATCTAGGAGGGAAAAGCGAAGGAAGAAAGAAGGGAGGTTAGGAAACCATCACATCATCTGCATATGCCACTGATCCAAAGCCCCTGCCCCTGCACTCTTCTGCCCAAGGCCACCAAAAGGCTTGAGGACTCTGACCTAAAGAAGAAGACATCAAAAGATTATGGAAGGGGGCAACTAGATGGTGCAGTGGATAGAGCACCTGCCCTGGAGTCCGGACGACTTGAGTTCAGATTCTACCTCAGACGCATAACACTCACTAGGTGTGTGACTCTGGGCAAGTCACATAACCCCAACCGCCTCACCAAAAAGAAAAAAAAAGATTGCGGAAGGCATTGAGATCAAACATTTGGGGAATGTTGTATCAACAGCAGACTTGGGACGTGTATGGCCACATGAGACTCACCAGGAAATAAAAAAAAATTCCTTGAGTCTCTGGGTCCTTCCCCTACTCCCCCCCCCTCAATTCTGCACCATCTTTTCATTATCTTCATTACTGTTAACATCTTCAACCTGATTCTTTTGCCTTTAGGAGATCCAGGGTCTACAGAGGTATGGCTTATCCCCCTTAATATTTCGAAGGAGGGGGAAGGAGAGCTGTTTGGAGCATTCCAGGGCACCAAAATTCAGTTTTGCTTCCCAGTGGTGATTGTACCAGCTGTGTGGCCCTGGGCAAATCATTTAATTTCTCTATAACTCACTTTTCTCTTTTGTACAATTAGGGGGTTGGATAGCATTTTTCCTGGCTCTACATTTATGAGCCCATGGTCCAGGTACCAGACTTCTCCTTCCTGAGTTTCCCAGAGGTGCAGCCATGCCCAGGCCACCAACCCAAGGGGCCTCAAGCCCCCCCTAACCATGGCAATCCTCTCATTCCCAGTCTCCATGGGGATCAGGATTGGACTAGAGACCAGTACCTCCTATCCTGGCATAAGCACGTTGCCAGACTGTCCTTCTGATGACCAGTGCCAACCCCCATTTACCCCAAGTACAAATATCTAGGTGAGTTGTTTCACTTTTCTGAGCCTTAGTTTCCTCATCTGTCAAATGGTGGGATTGGATTCCGTGTGTTCTAATATCCTTTCAGCTCTAAATCTATAACTTTTTGGGCTATTCCTAGTTATAGCTCTGATCGTATAGAAAAGAGTTCTCAAGCCCTTTTGTCAATGACTCACATTTCCCTGGGATTAGCGTGCCAACAGGTTGCCTTTTCTTCAAGGACCTCCCAATTATAACGAGTTTATGTAGCACTTCCCCACCCCCCCCAAAACCCCAGGACATTAAACCTCTTATACAGGTAAGGAAAGTGAAGCTTAGTGTTTAAGCAACTCACCTAAGGTCATACAGCTTAGACATCCAAGTGGTGGAGCTAGATATCCAAGGTGCACAAGTCATCTGACTACCATTTAACAACATGGAGTCTTAGAGCAGTGACATACAAGTTCAAGGCTCTTTCCATTCAACCACACTGTCATAGGCTGGGCTATATTATACTCTACTGGAGGCAGCTGGTGGCTCAGTGGTTAGAGTGCAGTGCCTGGAGTCAGGAAGGTCCAAGTTTAAAGCTGACTTTAGACACTAGCTGTGTGACCCTGGGCAATCACTTAACACTGTCTGCCTCAGTTTCTTCTTCTGTAAACTGGGGATAGAGAAACTCTGAGGGTCTTCCTTTCCCTGACTGATTCTTTTGTGAAGGCAAAATAGACCATCTTTTACCTCATTTCTTACGTAGCCTTTAACTATCAAATGGGTGTTGTCTCAGACAAACAGATCTGGAAAAGACTTTTGCTTAAAAAGGCCAAGGTCTCCCACTGCATCCTGGGCCATCACCATTCATCCTGACCTACATCTTGCCATTAGACTCTGATGACTCTGAAAGAGAAAGTGAGGCCGATGCCTTTTCACCACCCTGCCTCACTTAAATCCAATTCACTTGCAAGTCAAGACATCACCCTCCTGATGTCATTAGTCCTCTTTGAGAATGAAAGATAAATAACAACAACAAATTGGGCATGATAATATCACCTACTTCCCAGGGTTGTTGTGAGGATCAAATGTACTGTGCTTAGCATAGTACCTGGTACTTAGTAGGTGTTTAGTAACTATTTATTCCCTCTTCTTCCCCCCACCATAGCTCTATTCCTTTTAAAGACAGGATTTGGCTCCTTTCTCCCAGCATCTCTTTTTTTCTAATTGTTCTCATCCATTAGGGTCTCTCTCACTAAACCTCTTTGTGTCCCTAAAAAGAATTAAAACAACAGAAATTATCATGACCAAGCTTGGCTCCAAAGATGAGATGTAAGGTATTTCCCATCCCTGCTTCGGAGAAGTGAAGGACAACAGGTGGAGAACCCTGTATGTGCATCAGTCTTTTTCAATAGATCAATTAGTTTTGCAGAATTATTTTCCCCCTCTATTTTTATTCTTAGATATAAGGGAGGGTTCTCTGGGAGAGAGGAGGAAGAAAAAAATTAGAAGATACAGGTGATATAAAAACAAAAGATATCAATAAAAATATTTTTTAATTTTTTAAAAAAGAGTTAAAGTAGCAAATAGTAATAGCTGCCATTCATAGCACCTACTGTGTTCCAGATACTATGCCAAGTGCTTTACAGATATTATCTCATTTGATCTTCACAATAACCTCAGGAGGTAGGTATAATCCCCATTTTATAGTTGAGGAAACTGAGGCAAGCAGAGTTGAAGTGACTTGCCCAAGGTCACACAGCTACTAAGTATCTGAGACTGGGTTTGGACTCAGGTCTTCCTGACTCCATACCCAATGTTCTATACACTGGACCAATAGTTGTCTTTTCCCATATTCCACTAGCTGAGAGGAGGAAAAAATTGCAACGAATCTTTTCTATTCTGATTTCATTTTTCACCTCAGGGTATTAAGTGACTGTTATGAGCTAGGCACCAGGGATAGAAATTTATATTCTATGTGTCTACGGAGCATTAACAATGCAAGACCAGCTTCAGTCGTGTCTGGCTCTCCTTCATGACCACGTTTGGGGTTTTCCTGGCAAAGACCAGTAAGTGTCTGAGGCCAGATTTGAACTCAGGAAGATGACTCTTCCTGACTCCAGGCCTGGCACTCTGTCCACTGTGCCACCTGGCTGCCCTTCTGTACAGACCATTCAGAATACCCAGATAATGACATTGAAACTCAGAGACATAGATCCAACACAGAAGGGATCCTAGAATCATCCTGGAACCAAAAATCAAAGCTGGAAGGGACCTTAGCAGACCATCTGGCCCAACCCTCTCCTTTTATGCATGAGAAAATGGAGGCTCACAAAGGGTGATTTGCCCAATGTCACACAGATAGCAGAGCCAGTAATTGAACCCAGGTCTTCTGACTATGAGCTTCTAGGTTGGCAAAGTTGATAGAACGCCAGGCTTGGAGTCTCAAGAAGGCTCACCTTCCTAAGTTCAAATCTAGCCTCAGACACTTACTAGCTGTGTTACTCTGTGGGAGTCACTTAACCCTCTTTGTCTCTGTTTCCTTATCTATAAAAATGAGCTGGAGAAGGAAATGTTAAACCATTCCATAATCTTTGCCAAGAAAACCCTAAATGGGGTCATGAAGAGTTGGACACAACTGAAAACAACAACTTAACTACAAGTCCAGTGTTTTGTCTACTCTATCATCCTGGTAGTGGTTCCATAATCTTTTTTCTTTTCTTTTTTTTTTTTTTTGGCTAGCAATGGGGTTAAATGACTTGCCTAGGGTCACACAGCTAGTAAGCATCAAATGTCTGAGGCCGGATTCGAACCTAGGTCCTCCCCACTCTAGGGTCAGCACTCCAGCCACTGCTCTATCCAGCTACCCAGTGGTTCCATAATCTTACCAAATAATTCTGAGAGTGATGGTGGTAGTATGTTAGCTATTGTGATTTAGGAAGAAATAGAGAACTAAAGAAAGACCAGAGAAAGCATTGGAAACAAGCAAATGAGCTATTGATCTTCAAGAAAAGATCTATGTGTCTGGAAATTTCCATTTGGTAATTCTGACATTGGTCCTTCAAAAATCAATGAAACGGATATTAAGAAAAACAAATGTATAACTGTTTAGAGGATAATGAAACCAGGGTTTCAATTCACATTGAAAGAAAAATTATGCCAAGTATAGTCTGTAATCATTTAGGCAGAATTATAAATGCTTTTATACTTGTGTATTGAGATGAAATGATATATAGACTGTCCCTAAAAATCTTCGTACAAGTTTTTCAAGCTATTACAGCTTAAAACCTGCACTAAGACTTTTTTCTTTTTTTTTGGCGAGACAATCAGGGTTAAGTGACTTGCCCAGGGTCACACAGCTAGTGTCTAGTCCTCCTGACTCCAGAACAAGTGCTCTATCCACTGCACCACCTAGCTGCCCTTGCACTAAGACTTTTGAGACACCTTGTATATAAACCAGTGTGGAAACCTTAAGGGATTTTATAAGGATGAGTCATTATTATTATCACTGATGTGATTCACGTTTCCTTAGTGAAAGAGCATGCATTTAAAGCTGGAAAAGACCTCAGAGGAGAACTAGACCAATCTCTTCACTTTACAGATAAGGAAACAGATTCAGAAATGAAGAGACTTAATCTAAGTCCCACATTTAATAGAGATAGGATTTGAACCCAGGGCTTCTGACTCCAAATCTTTCCCCTGTATCATGAGGTGTCCCCATAATATTCAGTGTCATAATGGTGTGTCTAGGACACAGTGACATAAGCTGAGCTGACAAAGCAGTAAGTCTGGGGTTTGCCATCCATGTACAGAAAGAAATGTCAGCTAGGACTGCTGAATCACTCGCCATCTCTGTATCACTCTTGGTCTGTGTTTTGTATTTATTGACAAGGCTAGGTGGTACAGTGAAGTGAATAGAGAGCACAGGACCTATAGTCAGGACAGACCTGAGTTCAAATCTGACCTCAGGTATTTACTAACTGTATGACCCTGGACAAGTTGCTTAACCTTTGCCTGCCTCAGTATCCTCATCTGTAAA